CTGATGCTAAAACTAGAAATTCCAACAACAAGCACCCTGAAGCCCATCCTCCCACCCTCAGCCAACCATGCCCAGGGTGTGTTCGATCCACTAGGCTAGCAACGGAAATTGCCCACTGCCACCCGCTCCAGCTGAAGTCAAAGTTGCCCGTGCACAACCGTAGCAGCCTCCAGAGGTCTTACCCAGATTGCATAATTCCCTTGTGGAACAGCCTACCAGCGGCCATCCTATCAGCAGAGCCCCAAACCAGACAGCTCCAGTTCTTCAAGGAAAAATGCAACAAGTATCTGCTGCACCTGAACTGGCAAACAGCCACTGATGCCCTATGAAATGGTTTAGACCAGCGCCTCACTAGCATCCTCCCTCCCTCCTCACCACAATGTGATGTTATCTCTCATTCTGATTCTCTCAAGACCACATGGTATCTCTCACTCTGCTTCTCTCAAGACCATCCACCCATTGTCCTCGTTCCTCACTATTATTCATTTCCCTTCCTCCTCTCCTCCTCATGGTTTTGCTGTATTACGGCGCGCTTTGTCTGCGTAGACGCCGAGACCTATAAGGTCGGCAGAGCAGCCTAGCACCGCCATCACTTCTCACACATATTCGGGAATATAGTGGACTTTCGTATAAAAAATATAATTCTTATAATCTTCGGCGGAAAAGCGGGGCCTCGGGCTGATTTTCATCGCGTGGATTAAATCTCTCAAATCTGCCGCTCAGCGGCAAATATCCATGGTAACCACGGGATTTTTTTAAATTTCCCTCAGTGTGACCTAAGCTGGCAAGAATTTGGAGTTTTAAAGGGCTTTTACTCAAACTTACTTTGTTGCCATGGCAGCAGTAAACCGTGCCAGAACATTTTCTTTCCCAAAGGACTTCGTTGCTGTTTCGAGCGACGGGGAACAAGAAGAGCAGGTCGTGCAAGCGTCCTGAAAAGAGAGGATTCTCAGGAAAATGGTTTGTTAGGAGAACAGCACCTGTCCAGGAAGCAGCTGGGGAAGTGTGTGAAGCTGAAGCAGTGCCAGAGTCCGCCTCGAAGCGCAAATTGTACGATGGCGTTCCAAAATGGATCCAACAGAGCGACAGTGAGTCGGATCCGGGGGAGAGCTTTGATGGGTGTGCCCTGACCTTGAACCCAGACAGTGGCTCCTCGAGTGATTCCTCGTGCTCTGAGGACTTTCATGGCCCAATCGCTGAAGGTTATGGTTCAGACGCCACTGGAAATCGCTTAGTGAACTTGAATTGTTTACGAAATTTGATTTCCTCTGCTTGCTCGTGTAACTTGAATACTGTGGAGGTGAGTTGACCATTACTGAAACTGCACGTTCTGGCTTTGCATCCACGGTCAGCATCAAATGCTGCAATGGAGAGTGTTCAGCAGTCACCAGCTTGCCAATGGTGGAGAAGTCAGGACGGGTTTATGAGTGCAGTCGCCGCAGTGTTCTGGCATCGCGCACTCTGGGATTTGGCCATGACGGCTTTCAAATACTTTGTGGCCTCATGAATTTTCCCCCTACTGTTCAGCTATCTGCATCCTAGCGGCACCAGCGAGCATTGTGCAAGGCGGAAAAGTAAGTTGCGCAAATCAGCGTGAGCAAAGCAGCAGATGAAGTGCATAAGCTGAACAAGACAATGGACCGGCCTGAGTATATAACTGCTGCCACCTACGATGGTGCATGGATGAAGCGTGGATTTTCTTCCCTGCATGGTACATTAAATTAGGGCAATTGACTGGCTCACCACATGTCGAATGCCAAGGTGTACGCCTCAACGCGACAAGGCCCAGTCAGCACTACCTGTCGCAGACGTCGGCTGCTGTGGCTGGGCCATGTTGTTCGCGAAGGACGTAACTCAGCGTCCTACCAAGCACTGGAGATGGCAATTAATACCCGGGACATCAAGCGCCCACGTGGCCGACCCCATCTCAGATGGATTGACAATATTAAAAATGATCTAAAGCACGCCAATATTGATATTTCTGACTGTTTTGAACTGGCTCTAGACAAGAAAGAATGGCTGATGCTTGTGGAAAAATGTGCTGCGCTTGCGTAGTTGTTCTTACTGCGATACGTTCTAACAATAATGAGATGCCTTTTGTCGGCTCTTCTGCCTGGATTTCGTTGACAGATGCGTTAAGCCCATGGATCCTCCCATGAGTGACATGCGAACTGTAACTATTCTTATTATTTGAAACTCGGATGTCAACTAGTCCATCACAATGTCATGCATGAGGAGTACTGTAGGAGTTTGGCTTTCGGCTTGTACAATTCGTTTTCGCAAAGCTTCCCTTTCTTTATTTATCTTTGATATTTATGACCCACCCAAGTTGGGTGGTGTGCTGCTTTGCTGCTTCGAATTGTAGTTAGACCGCTTTGTCAAATATCGTACTGGTCTCGTGATCGTCCAGTAACAATCGACATTCTTTGTTCCGTTGGGACTGTAGCTTTTGCTCATTTTCGTTGCGCTTGCCTTCCCCTCTTTGGTCTTTCCATAACCTTTAACCTTCCAAGTTGGAAGGCTGTCGGTTAGCGCTACGGAGATGTGTTGAAGCTAGGTGTCAGGACGTCGAATGTTTCAGTACTCTGTCAGTTTTGTGCCTAGTTATTGCACTTTCTGACTGTATATAGTATCATGTTACAGTGATGGAGAGTTACTCTTAACTCGTATCGATATGTCCTTTTCTCTTCTACATTATTATTATTATTATTATTATTATTAATTGACTGGCAAGTGGGGAAGGTCATTGATGTGCATGTAGCTTCCAAATAATGCAATGGGTGCAGCTTGTGGAAATCTCGCCGGGAGGGGAGTGAAGCCACAGCTGACGAGTATAAGAAGTGGAAGTCGGGCCATATCCCTCTCTGCAACCGCAATACGGAACAGTCGTCACCCAGTATGGAGACTGAAGGCGCTACCATCATCTGGTGCAGGTCAGTACAGGAGCGCCAGCTAGAGTACACCACATATATTGGAGATGGTGACTCCAAGAGCGTAGATTGATATCGCTAAAGAAGGTCGCGTTGGTCGTATGCAGAAGCCGTACGTTGGGTACAGCAGATTGTGGAGGCTAAGGGTATCACATACTGTACATGTACGTGTACGAGACTGGTGGTTTTCAGGTGGAACAATAGTCTTAGAATCTGTATTTTGTATTGTGTTTTATTATTTTACTTGGGCATTCCCAACAGACCCTAAGGTCTTTTTACAGGGTGCCCAAGATGAATGAAATTGTTAAGTTCCTGGCGAAATGAATTGGGGATATGATTTTTGCGAAGGGTTTCGGGAAGCGCATTAAAGCGGTCAGCACCAAGGAATGAAATAGATCTGTATTCAGCTTGAGCTTGCACAATGGGTAAGGAAAGGGAATAATTGACTTGGCCGCGGGTTACTCTATCTGTGTGAGCGCAGTCACGGCGAAGGGAGAACATGTCAGAGAGGAGTGAACTGCAGATATTGTGGATGCATCGGAACACGAAGAATATGGACTTAGTATGATATATTTTGTCTAAGCTAATTATGTGGTATCGCTTAAGCAAGTATGATGTCCGCGTGAATGCGTCATGCTCAAATATGCATCTAAGTACACTCTTGCTTATCCGTAGCAGCTGATCTCTCACTTTGTCAGCGAGGCAGTGGACATAGGTAGTGCTGGCGTACTCGAGCTTGCTCTGGACTACTTACAAGTAGAACTGCCTTCTGGCCTGGACAGCAAGGTTCCTCCTTCCACGTCCAAAGGCACCTAATTTCTTTCCGATGTCTTCCCTGAGGGAGTTAACGTGGGCACTGAAACTTAAAGTTGAATCGAGAGTCAGTCCTAGATACTTATCTTTGTCAGACGGGGCAATAACAGTCGAACCACAGACAATGCTCAGGTTAGGTGGAGGATGTGAGCGTCTGCTGTGGATCAGTAGTACTTGGCTCTTGCTGGAGTTCAGGAGCAGGCCGCGATCTGTGAGGTGCTGCTTCACCACTGAAAAACTTCTTCTAAGTAGGACATGAGAATTCGTGGACACTTTCCAGAGGCATACAGGGTGGTGTCGTCTGCATAAAGAAGGCATTGGGAACGCAATGGCAGAGTGGGGACAAGTCGAGTGTAGATGCTAAAGAGGGTAGGGCCTAGGACGGAACCCTGGGGAACGCCCCTAGTGCAGGTTCTACAGTCACTTGTGGTTCCGTTCACTTCTACGCGTTTCTGTCGGTGAGACATATACGACTTGAACCACTCAAGATCATTTCTACGGATCTTCAGATTGTGAAGGTCATCTATTAGCGTTTGGTGGTGGACGCGGTCAAAGGCTTTGCTGTGAGAACCTGTGAAAAAGACACCTAAATGCTTTTGCTTTTTAGACTTTTTTCTGCCTTTTAGCCTTTTTCTGCCTTTTTGGACATGATTGTGGCTAGTGTGTATATTTGAGACCTATCAACCCTTACATTTTCGGAATCAGTGACTTGTTGCGCAGGGATTGAACTACAATGGTAATCATAGATAGACCTTTGGGGACTCATCAGCGCAGCACAGAGAAAATGAGGCCGAACCTGATAGCAATCAAAAATAAATATTCCAAAACCAGTTTATAATCTAGACATGCTCAATCTGCGGACAGAACTGTTTCGACCTTTGTGCACTCATCCGCGCAGCACAGAGGAAATGAGACCTAATCTGATAGCAATGAAAAATATATTTTCCAAAGCCAGATTTAAACCAGACATGGACTTAATGCTTTAATCGCAGATAGGAGGTAACACTTTCAGTAACACAGTTTTGAGAGGCATTTTAGACACGGGGAAGTACACTTCCAAATGTTCAATCTAACACCTGTGACATATCCCACCAGTATTGAGTTAGCGCTTACGCTCACACTTCCATTCACACCTTATTCCTGCACTTACATCATCTACACTTGCATAGTGTTGGTTATCACCTATACCCTCCTATTATACACCATGCTATCTACTCCCCTTACATATCTATTCCTCGGCTCAAGAAGTTGGTACAATAAATATAGCCGCAAATGGAGGCAGGACCTGTTGTGAGATTCAATGTGATTGGGAAGACATATGGCGATGTGAGTGTCGGTAGAAAATTGAGGCCTCTCAGGAGGTGAGAAGTGAAGTAACAAGTGTTGGAAAGTAGAATATATTTCGGAAAAAGACTAGAAAAGGATCAAATAACGAAGAACTGTGCAAATCATTAAATCTATAGCAGTTAGAATGTTTTAGACAGCAGTGTAAGGGCGTGTAGGGACGTTTATTGAGAGAAAGGAACAGTCTAATTCTACAGTAATTATCTAGGTTGCTTTCTAAATGAGGGTGTGGTCATAAATGTTTAACTGTCCATTTTAAACATTTTGTAAGTGGCAAAAAAGGTTTCGTAAATCACTGATCATAAGTCTCAGTGATGGACAAGTAGAAGCGACAGAAAATACAGCACAAACTCGCCGCAAAGTGCCGAAATATTACAGTTGGCAAATGTTAGAAAATTTCGAGCGAGTGTCTGTACGAAGGTCCAGTGAAAGTCTAGACACAATCTTATCCTACGGTAGTGATCCTTTCGACTTTTCATTAGTGAGATCGTTACAAGGAGAATAACTGAAAGATGTGTGTGCGACCATCCATCTGACCATCTGACGCCCATCGCCGGAGGCGATGATAGCAATGCTACAGCAGAAGCCATAGCAGCTTGTACTGGCATTGCACCATTCAACAGCTTCCAAGGCTGAAGAATTGACCGCCACTATTCAGCCTGGTCTTCACCATACAGCTATCAAGTGGCTTTTTCTGGTGGTGTGTGCGAAAGGTTCATAGCATACATGTGTGAACTGGATGCATTCTACAATTGCTATTATGTCGGATGCATAGCCAACTGCTGTTGAAACCAAAACAAGATGGGGAACAAAAAGAACCTGTTGTAAAAAATGCAGAACTAAGAAGCGCTGAATACTACTACTACTACTACTACTACTACTACTAGTAGTCACGCACATGGGTATGGCAGTAACCAACCTGCATCAGGTAAGGTGCCGTCTCGGGATTCGGAGAACTACCGCCATTTAACGTGTACATACTGCACATGTTAGCTCCTTCTCCTTGTCGTATGGGGGACATGCCATCTCACTCTGACACGTGACCTCCGTGAAGTACAGCAGAGCTCCATCCTGGTTAGCTGATGTTCCCTTGCCAACGTCTGGGTCAACATCCACGCAAACATTCTTTGTTCGTCGGTGTCCATGATAGCCCGCCATTAGATATCCATGGTACTCCAGAGTCCAGCCCGAAGGACAGGTATTTCTAGCTGGAATCATGATGTGGGACACCCGAGAGTCAGCCTGGCATACTGCACACAATGGATTGTGCTGGAACAGGCCGGTGAAAGGCTGAAATGAATGAGAAGTTTCCAACTCACTAACATACACCAGGTTTCCTGACTGAACTCCAGGTTTGAAGTCTCCATACTGAGGCTCCTCGGGCAAGCAGAGATATTCGGCAGCACCACCTTTGTGAGTGAAGTGAGAACCAGCCATGAACCCGGTGTAAACTAGGGAAGCTCCAGCTGTCTCGTTGCACGTTTCCTTTCCCCAGCGAGTGTAAGAAACACCAAAGTGAGCAACTTGATGCTGAAGCAAAACAAGAGTGTCTTCTACCTTACTGAGGCGGTTCTCCGCCTTCTCTTGGCAATGGTCGCCCTGGAAATCCTCAGGACACTGACAGATATGCTGGTGGATGATATCCACATGTACACATCGTCCACCGTTCTGGCAGAACGGTTTCATGATGCATTTTCCATAGTCATGGATGCAGTTGTGAAGTCGGAATATATCTCCAGCATTGGTGATGCCGAAAGCCTTGCCCTGAAGCAGAGTAACAAGTTCAAGGAAGTTTAGTCCATACAGGGCATCGACGTCCAACTCGTTGTTTCGGAAGGCCTGAATGTAGCGCGGGATGGACTGCTTGCGTAATCCAGCTTGGGTGAACAGCGCTTCCAAACAGTCCGTTCGTTTGTTGTCACTAGGAGCACTCGTTGGTGCATCGGGAATATCATCGACGTTGTAGAATTCTGGAAGAAAGTCTTGGTTTTCATCGTCAAGACTATCCGCACTGTCCGAAAAGAGTTTATCGCTGTCAGTCGCGGGCTCTGAACGCCTTGCTCTATCGCCACGAGAGACAACTATCATTGCACAAAGCAAGAAAATAATTTTCGTGACAGACATGTCCAGACTGCAGATGTAAGAAGTTTTAATTTAACTTGCCAATTTCTTTTAAATCTTTTTTCTATGATCTGACTAGGAAGGAAGACTGATGATTGACCTCGTGGTGTCGCTGCATTTATAGGCTTTGCTCCCTGGTGACTGTCGCGATATCCTGGAGCTGGAAACCTTACTTTTCATGTTAAAGAAATACGCCAGACGGCAGATGCTCTGTTGGAACAGTTACAAATTTTCGAGTTTCTCCACTCCAAGTGGGCAAACTATGACTCGTGTCACCATTGTGTTTTGGTATGTGCATCATAACTGGATGAGGTTTATAGTGGTGAATGTGCCGCAAAATATGCTCAGGTGACGGGGTGTTGGTCTGTGTCCTTCTTCGATTGTGCCTTACCGTGTGATGCGTTGCCATCATGTCTAGCTGTATGTAACTGAAAACGTGCCACTATTCTTATCCGTCTACCTCTCCACACTGGGCTCTTATCCTCCAGGCAGCTGTTTCGCTAATTTAGAGCTCTTCAGTGGAGGTAGATAACGAACGAATAGCAGATAAAGGATTGAGTATATTTATAGGGTAAAGTGGCGCAAGTGAGCACTTTTTACATAGAAAAAAGTGGCATACCCAAAGACGTTGAAGGTGACAAAAGGTCTAAAGGTGATAACGAAACGCACATTGCTGCTGGAACATGCATACAGATGGCACTAGAATTTCGACAAGCGCTTGAGCAGACAATCTATTAGAAGTTTGCAATTACGTTGCCACACACACTGCATAATGATAGAATGAGCAAAACAGTTGCCTGGAGGATATGGAACATCTACCCAAGAATGAACCTCCTCGCAAGGATCAGTGCTGGGTCCATTGCTCTTCGTTGTGTATGTTCGAGATATACCTCATGTGGTGAGGCCATACGGTGTTACACCAACACAGTTTGCAGATCGCATCTCATTACGAGCCAGTGCCGAGACACCGGCAATTGTTGCTCAGCGACTGTCCGGTGTAGTACAACACCTGTCTGACTGTCTACGACAGTGTGGCTTAATTCTGAATGAACCGAAAACACAAGTCCTACCGATCCCTCCTTCCTCACAGAGCACCACCCTTTGCCCTACGCGTGACATGCAATAGTCAAGATCTGCCGGTGATCCCATCGGCCAAGTATCTAGGCTTACATTTTGACACGTCAATGTGCTGGCAGACAATGGTTAAACGTGTTGCTATCAGGGTCTCTGCTAAAATAACTGTCTTAGTCCGCCATGCTGCATCTTTACCCCTCTCATGTCGTATCTGCTACTTCAAATGCTTTGTGCTGCCTGAGTCTCTGCATGCATCCAATGCTTATGTCCCATATCTATCTGTTCACCAGGAGCTCCGTCTGGAAAGGCTCTTCAAGCGCGCAATGCGTGCTGTATATAAAGTGCCCCCTTGGACCCCCACTGTTACGCTGCTTGAGCATGTACATGTCTCTCCCTTGCGCGCTACCATTCAACACTAACTTGCTCTGCTTTATATGTCGTTGTCTAAATTCTTCAGGAAGAAGATTGTTTGAAACTTTTTTTCGACCTCTTCCGTCACGAAGAACTCGAGGAGACAACAGTAACCTTCTTATCGTCCCTGCAGCTGCTTCTGCACATTCTACCAAATTGGTGACACATACTGGCGCAGTTCTCTGGAATTCCCTCCATGCGGATATCCGAGGCGTCACCAAACTGGCCGCCTTCAAGTCAAGCGCTTTGAACCACATTCTTGCATGCTTTTAGCTTTACGCCCATGTTTCTGTAGCTATACTGGAACTGCTCTATTTCGCCGCAACTCTTTACCATTAGCCATGTCTCCCCCTCCTCCACCCTACACAGTGGGTCCATTGTTATTTGGCATCTGCCTGTTTTGGTTTCTCCACTATAAATATAAGAATACATACATACATACATGCATGGACACCTTGGAATGGGGATACTGATGTATTTTGTGGTACTTATGGCTAGGCACCAGCGGATTATGCCGGCATAATTATTGGCATAATTTGGTAGTTGCAAATTTGGAGCATCATTTGGCATCCTCTCGGAGGTAGGAGCATAACTACACGATTATACCACAGTTCTAGTATGTAGGCTATACAATTGTGTACAATGCACCTGATCAGTGCTGGTGGTCTGCATGGCAAAGGGTTTGGAGGTCATGCAGATAGTGTTTTCAATGAAAAGCAGGGTAGAAATTATGGCAACACATCATTGTATGCTCGAACTGGTCTTCTTCAAAGTTCTTTCTCACACTGACACAGTACATGTAGCAGCAGATGTGAGTGAATCAGCCTTCATCAGGCATCCCGGGGCGGACGTGATACATGTACATGTAGTGGCGGATAGTCCGCAAAACTCCGTGTACATGTACGTTTACATTACATTTGTACGTTATGCATGTTACGAAGTCATGACCAGTCTGGATTTTAGCAGCCTTGATATGACTGCCGGCTATCAATATTGCTCTAAATTGATGTATACTAGTAGTTGATGTTCGGTCATGATGGAAGAAGACGTGGAGCTGCGGGAGAGATGAGCTGATTATTCGCAGGGTGAGGCCCAGGGTGACATCGGATGGACGAGTATGATGATTACGAAGACAGTTGCACATGATAATTTACAATTTTCAATAGCCATGTGTTAGGAGAGTTTCTAGGGAGAGCGAAGAAGACAGAATGGAGAAGGGTTTACTGTAAAATGTGAGGACGTGTGGAGATCAGGATGGGAGTGCAGAAGACGTACATGTATGGATGATCGAGAAGATGCATGTACATGGATGATCAGGGTTAGAGGACAGGAGCACATAATGTTCTTTACTCCATTTTCCATGATGGATCCATAGAGCTTAGACTCGTGCCCACAGATGTGTTGATTTCCAAAACTAGTGTGCGTTCAGAAAGTGGTGGACGTCACGCAACTGCATTGTACATAAAAGGGGGTTTGTCAACTGACAGCCGCTTTAATACTATTGTGACTGAGAATAATGTGACTTTCGATGACTTATTTATTACCTAATAGACCCGGATAGGAAACACTTCCTAAGAGACAAAACACCCATGAATGCGGTCACCTGAAGGAAACATTACTTAAGATAGTGGGTGCAACGAATATTCATCACATCATGCGGCTCAATGAAAGTAAGATTAGATTACGGCAGCCCAATACTTATCACCGATCTGGGTAACGAGCAGCTCTCAGCTCTCCCTCTTACTACATGTACATGTATCTGTCGCAGGAGCAGAAGTCAAAGAGAGCCTGATCGTGCATGTGTCCTACCCCTGTCTATCGTTTTGACATCCCGTAGGCCATAGCCTTGTTGCTGGTGATAAGGACCTAATTGGCACCACTTCGCATGTCACATGGTCTTTCCACGCTCCACAGCGTGGTGAAAAACAGTATATCATGTGCTCAGGCCAATCGGGGTCTGCCAGCTCGGCATTTGGGGAAATCCAGGGATCATTGGTCTGTTCCAGGGGTCAGTAAGGATGTCCGGTTGTTGGTGCATCTTCCTTTTACCTACATGTAAACCGTCTTTTAATAATTTGGATGGGGAGCCAAGGCAAAATTGTAACAGGGGAACATTTTGGGTACACGTTATGCGGTCGAGTCCACCAACTTGAACTGTCAGACGTGCACTATCTCGCCAAAACCTGACAATGAGTACTGAGACCTTCCACAGCATGAACACGGACATTTGGAAGGCGATCGGTTAGAGCTATTTAGCAGTGCTCAAGCTGACTGTCATGCCGTGGAATGTCTCAGTACCCCTTGTCAGTTTTGTGCTTCGCTACATTGTAGGTTGTGCACGTTTAACGTGGTTCTGGTTCCCTATCGTATCTATTGTACATGTACATTGTACGTGTCCGTTTGAGGTGGACTAGCACGTTACAGTGTGGAGTACAGAATAATGATAGTGATGATGATGGCTGGTTTTACTTCGTAATTCCAACGGGAGTTTGTTTGCTTGTTTTATGTGGATTCGCTGGAACAAATTGGAGAGACATTCAATAACAAGATAGCGAATATTGAAAGGGAAAGGGAAAAGATGGGTGGTGAGAGGGAGATAAAAGTAAGAAGGAGAAGGAACAACAATTTCTTTAGAGCAGCGACGAGATAAGGTATAATTACTAGAGGAAAGAGGTGTACGTTAAAATGTGTCTAAGTGTTAATACAGGAATGTGGAAAGGATAGTCATCTTGGGGTTAGTGCCGATGGTATGTATCCAGTATCTAACATGTATTAAGCTACTGCTGCAGTACAAAGAAAAGGGCACAAGAGGATTGAGTAATACGTCTTTTTACTCACACAGGACAAGCACCGAAATGGTAGTCCTTGGGAGTACATCATTATTACATACATGTAGAAAAGAGTCAGTTGCTCCATGTGCTCCCTGCTAGTACATGTTCCCGTATACGTCCTCGAGCTGCCTAGACCGTCCTTGTTTGTACCGGTATATTGCATGGTGCATGGTCAACTGTACTAATTATTATTATTAGTATTATTATTATTTGAAACTCGGATGTTGAGCCATAAATAAATGTGGAAGAGAAAAGGACATATGGATACGAGTTAAGAATAACTCTCCATCACTGTAACATGATACTATATGTTGGACTCAGTAGAGCGTCCAGCCCCTATATGATGTCCAACCCCTATATAGAGTCCATTGGTCCAAAATCCACTGTACAGAGTCCAAACTTGGAATCAACTGTGAGCTCAAAGTTTCGATGGACATCACTCCCTGTATAGAGTCCAGCCAATTGGCTTCACCCCTATATAGAGTCCATTGGTCCAAAATCAACTGTACGGAGTCCAAACTTTGAAATCAACTATAAACAGTCTTTATGTGGACAACACCCCCTGTATAAAGTCCAGCCAATTAGGCATCCCCTATCGAGTTCGAAAATAGACATAGGATCTGCTGTAAGCAGTGAATATTAACCAGAAAACGGCCTCTGCCTTTAATCCTTTACATCATTCACTTCTCAAGATAAAAAAATATGTATTGAGGCGCCACTGCAGCCACGTCATTACATGAAAAACCCTACAAACACCATCCTCAAACCAAGTGGTCTCTTCGCAGACGCTGCAACT